AAAGCTTTTAGCTTTTTCTTCAGTGTTACCTTTGTGCATGATATTCCAGATAATTCCCACTAAATCAGCTGCAGCTGAACACTTGTTTTACAGTGAAATGGCTCTGTGGTCTGGTGTGGGTCAGACAAACTAAAAGAGCACTGATGACTCACAAAACATGGCTTCTGCTGTTTCCAGACATTATTTGCAGACTGCCCACAGCTCTGCAGCATCACTGAGGTTCTGTACAGAAACATGTCGGATCCACACGTTAAACTCAGCGGAGCTCTTTGGGTTTGATGAACAGCTGAATCCGTCGTATTTCCTCTGAGGTTTCTAACTGGACAGACACTTCCAGCTGCACTCCTGTAACTTCTATCCTTTAAAGAGGTTTATTCTGTCTCTTCAAAGCTCTTTCTGTGCTGACATTAAAGAAACGAACGACTTGTCAGGTATGTCTGGTGTTTTTTGTAACTGAAGGTGTGTTTTCTTTGTTTCTAACGTGGTTTTAGGTTTGTGGACCTCCGACGCAGACTCTGGAAACTCCCACCTTTGGATGGATCACCCGGTAGGTGTTAAATCCCCGTTGAGCCAATCATCCAGTGACAGCTGTCCACCTGGCTTGTCTCTGCCTCATGTCTTTGTCCACTTTGACGAAGACACGGTTGTGTTGGAACGTCGACCTGTTTGAGGAGTCACAGGTGCGTTTGCTGCAATTCTCTGCTGTCTGACTCCTGTTCATGAACTCGGCAGCAACGAGATGGAAAAAGGAAGCTGTCTGGTTTAGCTAGCTCCCTGAGGCTGATGCTAAGCTAATGCTAACATTCAGGAGCAGCAGGACTCCAACAACATTAAAGAGATCAAGTGTCTCTGCTCTGAGTATAAATCCATCTTAAAGGTGAATACTGACAGATTTCCTGAAGCTCAGTTAAAAGTGTTTAAACACGCCTCTTAATCATTGAATTCAGGTGTTTCATTCAGGTGAGTAAGATCCAGCACCCAGACATTAAGTCCGACGATCCGACGTCTCCGACTTTGTGCAAACAGTTTGTTTGAAGTTGCTTTTCTGGTTTCACAAAAGCATGGTTTGGTGGGTGTTAGAGCCATTTGTATATTTGTGTTCAGGTCATTCCCCGATCGCACCAGTAGGTGGCGTATTGGACAGCAGCACATGGAAATGCATAAATAGAAGAAGAGGTAATTACTCCTCAGGTGTGCTGCTTATTGGGAGAAGCAGTTTTTGACCGTCGTCGCCATTTAGAGGCTAATATTTAAGCCTTTTGTTTGTTTTCATGCAAGTTATGGATGTAAGTGTGTGCATAGCAAAGGCTGGACTGGTACACGGTGGTAAATAAACACATCTTAAGCACAAGTCTGCAGATGTTTGATTTACTGCGTGGAGCCGCCGCATGACGACGTGTCAACTACATATCCTGGTACCAGCCCCTCACGGTGGCTTAGGTTTTTATTTGTTTGTCGAAATCAAGTCACTACAGTGACTTTGGTTCAACGTTTAAGCAAATCTTTATTGCCTCAGTTTGCCCGACAGTCAGCAGCACAACACAGCGATACACAATTACACCACACAGCAGACACAAAGAAATGTGGTGATAAAATTAAATGAAATAAAAAAACATTAAAACAATGAAATCATCTTCAGATGACAAAATAAAGACAATGAAATAAAATCAAAAAGATAAAAAATAATGAAATCGTCATCAATCAGACAGAAAACATGACAAAAAAATAAAACAGATTAAAATAAAAAGAAATCATTAGCAGTCACACAGAAGATCCATCCATCCAACGACCTTCTTGCTACGAGGCTACCAACTGCACCACCCTGCAGCCCGCCAGACAGAAGACACAAGGATAAAATTAAGTAAAATAAAAACATTAAAATTATAGAACCATAATCATTTATAGGCAAAAAAGGACAATAAAATGAAATACAAGTAAATTAAAATGGACTGTCATCATCAGTCACAGACACAAAAAAATGAATGAAATAAAATACATTAAAACCATTAAATCATCAGTCTTTACCTTGTATATGTATGTTTTCTGCACTATTTGCCACTTTGATTTATTTCTATTCATATCTGTCTTTATTTCTTGTGTTTTCTCTTCTTCTTCTCGTGTGGAACAGGTGCTAAATACATTTCACTGCTCGTTATTCTGTGTATAATTGTGTTTGTGACCAATAAAGCTCTTGATTTCTTGGAAGTTTAGTTTGATATCGAAGAATAAATAATAATAATTCATTTTATTTGTATAGCGCTTTTCAAAAACTCAGAGACGCTTTACAGGATAAAGGAACAATAAAAGCAACTTATACAAAAGTGGACTACACAGAAATACAAGCACGCAGATAAAAATAACACAAGATATCAAGATAAAGGTTGAAGTGAAAAAAGCAGAACATGACTGGGTCTGTGGTGTCACTGCTGTGTTGTGGGAGAGAGGTCCAGAGGGTGGGGGCGGCGCCAGAGAAGGCCCTATCCCTCCAGGTTCGGTGCTGGGTCCTGGGGACGATCAGGCGGTTGGCATTGGTGGAGCAGAGGGTACATGAAGGGGTGTAGGGGTGGAGCATGTCTTTGAGGTTAGAGGGCGCCTGGTTATGGAGAGCTTTATGGGTGAGTAGAAGGATTTTGAATTTAATGCGGTGTGGGATGGGAAGCCGGTGAACAGGAGACACAGCAGCTGGAGGGTTCCTTCTAAATCAATCAGCATTTCTTTTGCTCTGGACACATTTTTAGTCAGATAAGACTGTTGACACCAATCTGAACTCCACTGCATCATGGTGCCTTAAATAGTGGCTGAAATGCCTTCTTTGTTTCTCTTTTCTGTCTTTTGTTTTGGTTTTTTTCATTGATCTTGTGATGCTGTGTTCACACCAGACGCAAATTCATTCACAGTGACTTTACATGTAAATCCTTGTCAACACAGCATTACAGTGTATTGTAATATTCAATACGGTCAGCAGGGGGCGCAGAAGACCTGCAAATAAAAACCTGCTCCTGTGCTTCTTTTCAGTTGCATCAGGTTCACAGTCATCAGTGGCCTGACTGACAGTTAGTTTCACCTGCATTCTCCTTCCACACACATCAACAGCTACCTGTAATCCAGAAGTAAACACCATGTGCAGGTCCAGCCATTAAAAAACAAACAAAACCCTGATTTAAACTGGGGTCTCCGCATCGGGAGGCATCATGTGATGATTCTCCATGTTTCCATTCACTGTTTGACTGGAGGCGTCAGCAGCAGCTTCTTCATTGTCACAAGAGGTGTGACAATAAACCCCCTAAAGAGACAGTAAATGTCACTTAAAGCTTGAGTATCTTTTATTTCAGGTGATCAGGTCACACAGCAAGTTTCCCCAGATGGAGATCCTAAATGCAGGCAATAAAATGTCGGTTCCAGGCGACTCATCCATCAGTCGTTCCATTTTCAGCATTTAATTTTTTCCTAAATTGAAATTTGAGGCTGTTTGAACAACAATAAGCAGGTCTGACAAGTTGAACCACAACTGCTAAGATATTGGTAGACAGTCTGATCAAAGTCGATCACAGTTCTGGAGTTTCAAAGTCGTTCTACAAACATAAAAAACATCCATCCATCCATCATCCGTACACCGCTTAATCCTCACTAGGGTCATGGGGGGCTGGAGTCTATCCCAGCTGACTCAGGGTGAAGGCAGGTTCACCTGGACAGGTAACCAGTCTATCACAGGGCTACACTTAGAGACAGACAACCAAGCACACTCACATTCACACCTACAGACAATTTAGAATCACCAATTAACCTCAACATGTTTCTGGACTGTGGGAGGAAGCCGGAGAACCCGGAGAGAACCCACGCTGCACGGGGAGAACATGGAGACTCCATGCAGAAAGATCCCGGGTGTCCTCACTGGGACGCGAACTGGTGCCAATCTTGCTGCGAGGCAACAGTGCTAACCAACTGTGCCACCCTGCAGCCCCGTAAAAAACATTACTTGTTAAATTTGAGCATATTTTTCATTTTCAGACCCACTTTGTTCACGTAAACATAAGTTCTGTTCATCTCTGATTTAAATCAAGTATTGGTTCAATTCTTTATGCAGCGAAATTGTTAAAGAAATCCTAAAATGGTTTGGACATGGAGGAGAAATAGTTGTGTGAAATGAGCAGTGAATAAACAAACATGTACCCGTCTGATGCACCGGGCTGCCTTCCTGTGGAGATCAAAACAACATCCAAGTGCTATGATGACCAGGACCAGGACCAGGACCAGGACCAGGACAGACCAGAGCGGTTTTCTACCATCACCTGTCAGAACGTCTCACATCAGCATCAGCAGAACACGCTGAAACACAGTTTGACTGAGAAAAAGAAGGCAGCAGATGGTGTCTCACCTGTGTGCTTCAGTCCACTGCAGAGCGTCTTGACGTCGACGTGGACACTTGTGTTCTCTGCAGGGTTTCCAGCCTCACACCTGTAAGAGGAGCTGAGGTTCTGCTCGGTCACAGTGAGCAGCAGAGAGTCCGTGGAGCTGATCTGCTTCAGCATCTCCTCGTCTTTGTACCACCGCAGTGTGATGTCTGAAGTGTTACCGACAGCACAGCGCAGGACGCAGCTGTCAGAGGTCGCCGTCACAGTTTCCACTGCAGGACCAGATATAGAGTCTGCAGAGGAAACAGTCAGACTTTGTATAAAGCAGTTGTCAATCACAGAACAACAAACACAATTTTTTATATATACAAATGTAGTGGGATGCAATTTTAAAAATGTGTAACTAATTAGATGCTTTGTAATTAATTCATCACAATCACATTTTTATCAAATAGCAAAATTTGACACAACAACCTGCGTTTCTCAATTCAGATACATTTTGGTTGACGACTGAATCAATGAACAGACATTCATGTTTATTCAATGTTTATTTTTCATGTACAGTTGAAACCAGACGTTTACATCCACTGTATAAAAAGACAAACAACTTTATTTTTCTCTCTGTCTGACATTAAATATCACTAAACTTGTCCTGTTTTAAGTCAGTGAGGATTACCAACATTATTTCTATTTGCTAAAATTTTGGTGCATTTTTTTTTTTTTAGATTTTTTTACTGCTTTCTTCAAAGTCAGAAGTTTACATCCACTGAGATGTCGTCAAACTATTTGGAAAAGCCCAGACGATGATGTCATGGCTTCAGAAGCTTCTGATAGGTTCATTGACAACATCTGAGTTAACTGGAGGCACACCTCAGACACGCTGCTTCCTTTTGTGACAGTGGCCATCACAAAGTCCTGATCTCAATCCTGGAGCAAGGAGACCAACAAACCTGACTCAGTTCCACCAGTTCTGTCAGGAGGAATGGACCAGAACTCATCCAACTACTGTGAGAAGCTTGTGGAAGGAAACCCAGAACGTTTGATCCAAGTCATACAGTTTAAAGGCAACGCTACCAAATACTGAGGAGATGGATGGAAACTTCTGACTCTGAAGAAAGTCATAAAACATTCTCTCTCTCATTATTCTGGCGTTTAGCAAATAGAAATAATGTTGGTGATCCTGACTGACCTGAAACAGGAAAACTTTAGTCTTATTTAATGTCAGACAGAGAAAAAAAAAGGTTTAATGTCTTTTTATACAGTGGATGTAAACGTCTGGTTTCAGTTGTATATACAGATATATAAATACGTGGAGAGAGTTTTGAGTCTCCTGTTCCCTACAACTCTAACACTAACACCCTAATAAACTATGATGCTGCCACCTCCATGCTTGATGGCAGGTTTGGTGTTAAAGGCCTCAGCTTCTCTCCTCCAAACATATTTCTGCTCAGTGTGGCCAAACAGCTCAGTTTGTTTTATCTGATTAGATTTTGACACACACACAGAATTACGTTTCTGTGTGAAACCTGTTTAAAAGTCACATCGGGTATATTTTCCTGCAGTAGAAAACAGAGCAGAAGCTACATTAACTTCATCATTTTCTATTTGGTTTACACCTCATGTCAGTCCTGCCACGCTGGTTTTGGGCAACACACAACAGGATCAGTGGTAAAATGACGATGTCCAACAGGGTGGTCAGTGTTAACAGCAGAGTGGTAACTCACCGTGGACGGTCAGCTCGTACTCTACGGTGGAAGGGTTGGTGAAGCAACGATTTGGTCCCTCGGTATTGACATTAATAGTCACCTTTCCTGCGTCACGTTTCTGAAGGTTGGTCAGTGTAATCTGTCCCGTGGACGTGTCCAACAAAATCCTGTCAGAATAACGAATAATGATCCTCCCGTTATACAGCATAAAGTGAGTTTCTTTGCCCCATCCTTCAACCTTGAGATTGAAATCACATCCTGTCACTCTGTCAGGTAGCGTGATGTTGTTCCCTTCAGTACCAATCAGGTACGTTGGTTCCCCATGGGCTGGAACTGGGTTTGTCCCTGTAGAACGCAGAAACCACAGTCAGTCATCACAGAGGTCAACCACAGCTGTTCACGATCAGAACGAGGCTAAATAACATCATGTAAGAGGCTGACAGGGAACGTTCCCACAACACTGGATGACATTACCAACAGGTTCTAATGATGTGTCTGAAGAACATGGTTAGTGTTCTAAGATTCAAATGTTGATATTTACAGCAACGTTTCTATGAAGTCACATTCACACATTTATGAGATGTTCTCACAGCAACGTTTAAAACAAGTTTCTCAGACAGTCTCTTGTCCTGTAAAGGAAAGGACGTGTAACAATGTGTATGTGGTGTTGAACTAACCGGAGCTGAGAGGAGGGCAGTGACAGCATCACCACCCGGACCCTCCTCAAACAGCTGCTGCTTTACTTAGAGGTGGAACTCTTACAGTTCAGGCCAACAATCAAGCTGTAAGATGGAGAACCGAGAACATGACGGCAGCTGAGTCTCCCCGTGCAGCCTGCATGCCAGGGGATCGAGGCACAGCGAGGCCACCGTGACGGGAGGAAGAGGGGAAATGTTCACGAGTGTTCGTGGACTGCGTGCATCACGTCACGCTGCAGCAGAGTTTCTAGAGACGCTACAGATGCTCTACAAGTTGGGTTTTTTCTGGATCGGTGGTGCACAACCTTTTCAGAAGTCAGGAAGCTGAGGGACACCAGGTGGACACGCAGGTATTAATACAAACTGTCCCAGCACTCCGGCCCACGCTGCGTGACACCGTCAGCCAGTCAAACCCGCACCGGAGGACGGAGGGAAGAGCAACCGGTGCAGTCACTGATCAGAAGTCTGTTGTGCATCTCATTCTGTTGGAGGATGTATTCAGAACAACAGAGTTCGTGTCATGTCTTGGAAAGCTTTCATCTTCATCATGTAGCTGAATATCTTGCGTGCTGTGGAGCATAACGACGTTTTGTATCGCGGAGCTTTTCCTCCGTGTGCGCGCATCCCAGTGTCCATAAATTCTCGAGTACCGTCACTGAAAAGTGGAGCTGGTCCACAGCACCAGCAGCACCGCTCAACACTGTTCATTCATTCATTCAT